ACAAGGCAGAAGGACTGGTAATCCTACCCAACTGGCCAAATCAGAGTTGGTACCCAGTGGCAATGAAAATGTGTCTCTCCGCTCCAAGGTCTCTTCCCAGAAGAAAGACAACTCAGTGTTACCCTACAAGCCAGCAGCTGTTCACCCCCTGTCTGCCAAAATGCAACTTCTAGTGTGCCATTTGTCGGGGAGAGTCTTCAAGACCTTGGTCTCTCCGAATGATCTATTTCAATTATTATGAGTTCTTGGCGCACAGGTACTCGCAGTCAGTATAAGACCTACCTCATTCAGTGGGAACAATTCTGTATTAATTCTGGGTTAAATCCACTTGAAGCAGACCCTGTACCTGTGATTGGTTTCCTGACCCAGTTGTATGACAGGGGCTGTGGATACAGTGTAATAAATACCGCAAGAAGTGCCCTATCTAGTGTCTTATGCCTACCCTCAGGTACTCCTATAGGACAACATGTGCTGGTTAAAAGGTTTATAAGAGGTGTTTTTAACTCTAGACCAGCACTCCCCAAGTATCAACAGGCCTGGGATGTGAGTGTAGTGCTAGATTTTCTTAAGAAGAAGGAGATGAACAATTTATTATCACTCAGGGACTTAACAGTGAAATTGACAATGTTTTTGGCATTGGTCACTGGACAGAGATCCCAGACTCTTAAGTGTTTGAGTATAGATAATATGATCAAGAGTGGAGAGAAGGTAACTTTCAAGATAACGGATTTGCTAAAACAGTCTAGACCAGGCTGTCACTTGAAACCTATTGAGTTGCAAAGATTTGATGTTGAAAGCCTATGTGTAGTTTCTTGCTTAGATGTGTATATAGATAGGACTGTAGACCTTAGGTCATCTCCTCAGCTGTTGATAAGTTTTACTAAACCATACAAAGCTGTAGGAACAGAGACTATATCCCGGTGGCTTAAGACCGTTTTGAGAGAAGCCGGTGTAGATGTGTCTATATTCTCAGGACATAGCACCAGATCAGCCTCTACAAGTGCAGCTTCAAGTGCAGGTGTACCCATGCATCAGATTATGGAAGCAGCCGGCTGGTCATCTACCTGTGTTTTTGCAAGGTTTTATGAAAAACCTGTCTTGTCAAACTGCTTATTTGGTAATGCCATTTTATCACATGGATCATCAGTATAAGTAATGGAAGTGTTAAGTCAGATTGAGTTTGAGTGGTTATGTCTTTGACAATTGCTTTCTTACAAATAGCATAGCAGTGTTGTAGCATTTCCATAATGTGTTACACTTGTCTTGTGATGTTCAGTGATCAATATATCAGGTATGGCTATGCCTTTCACATTGTTTTCTTCCAACTAGCATAAAATTGGGAGCTTTTCCATTATTCATTAGTTGTGGTTATTATGCTTAATAACTGAGATTTGAGATATCAGGTATATCTGATTGTAAGCCCATTATATGACATGAGAGAAGGGTACTATTGCCTGTACAATAATATTGCTTTCTTAACAATCTTGTGTGATACCTGATGATGGAACATGTTATAAATTTGAAAACTAGTTAGAATAAATATGTTTGATGACACCTTGTTTTATGGTGGTTTTGTTAGGTACTGTGAACTAACTTTAAAATCTCATGTGGTCTCTCATGTGACCTGGTACTGGAGGAGAATTTGAAAATTAAACGAGACTTACCTGTAAGGTGAAGTTTGATATAAATTCTCCGAGGTACCAGGGCACGAGTGAGATCACATGCCACTCCTTCCCACCCTCTTTTCTGTAGGGTATCCATTAGTTCACAGTACAGGCTTTAAAGACTGAAACCCGATTGCGCATGCGCAATCTCATGTGATCTCACTTGTGCCCTGGTACCTGGGAGAATTTATATCAAACTTCACCTTACAGGTAAGTCTCGTTTAATTTTCAAATTTTATCTCCCGATAATTTCAAGCTGCTGGGAATTGAATTCAAAGACAAATATGTGGATAAAGTTTTACTAATGGGGTGCAGCATCAGCAAAGTTTCTACAATGGGATGTCAAAAAGCAATTATCTCAGTGAGTGTCAAGGAGATCTCATTCATTATTTGGATCATTTCTTCTTTGGAGGCCATCCTTCTGACAAAACAGAGTGCCAAGTGGTTTTGAGAACATTTCTTCAAGTTTGCTCTGATTTATGTGTTCCAGTTGCAGAAGATAAAACTATCCATCCTTGCACAAGTATTGAATTTCTAAGATTCAAACTGGATTCTGTCAAACAGCAACTACAGATTACAGAGGACAAAATTGCTGATGCCAGATTTAAAATTCAACTTATTCTTAGTAAAAAGAAAGTTGCAAGGAAACAGTTGGAAAGTCTAGTCGGCTTATTAACCTTCTTCTTACATGCTATTCCAATCTGTCGAGCCTTTCTCCGCAGAACAATTGATGCTGTATGGAGTGTAAGAAAATCCCACCACAAGATTAGAGTGACCACAGCACTTAAAGAGGATCTGGTAGTATGGTAATCCTTCTTACAGAATCACAATGGCATTTCATTCTTTATGGATAGATTCTGGACAACTAATACAATGCTTCAGTTGTATACAGACAGTGCAGGGGCATTTGTAAAGGATTTGGGTTGTACTTTGACCGAAGATGGGCGTACAGGTGTTGGCCGCAATCGTGGCACAAACCCAATTTAACATGAAACATCACCCTCCTTGAATTCTTACCTATTTTTGTTGCAGTTAACATTTGGGTTTAAATATCTTAAAAGGGAAGAAAATTATCCTTAACTCTGACAACAAAGCAGTTGTCACAATTTTGAACAGACAATCTTCCAGATGTAATTATGTAATGCATTACCTTCGGAAATTTGTGCTGAAATGTCTGCAAATTAATATCCTTGTAAACGGTCAATACATTTTGAGGCAAGCTCGTAAAATGTTAGGGAAATATTGCTGTGCTTTCGACCCTGAGGGTTTGCTTTCCAAGTCCGGCCGCCGTCTTACAGCGACATGTCGGTGTGACCAAACCTGCAGAGGTGAAATGAACTGTGAGTAGGCTAAGGACATGGTTGGTTTGTGGCATCACTAAGTGCAGTACCCTTGGTTGTCACAATTGCTATTGCTATATGATTTGTGCTTCACTTGGTGCAGTACCCCTTGGTTGTCACAATCATTGCTGCTTGATTCCTATATTTGATTTGTGGCATCACTTGGTGCAGTACACCTCGGGTGCCACAATTATTGCTGATTGATTCTCTAACGATATGTGCAACAACCCTGTCATGAGAGACCTGAACTGCCATTACCTTAAGGGTTGGCGTTCAAAAGCTTCTGTCGATTTCCGCCTCTGTAACATTAAGTTGCGCCCATTAATGCCATCAGAGGTATTTTGTTATATTTTATTTGTGTGCCAGAAATATCACTTAATTACTGGTCCCGCAGAAAGTGTGACAATGTGTAACCTTGACGTTAGTGTTTGATGAGTGACAAGTAAACTCTCGTCAGAAACAACTGTGTTTTGGTCGTCTCTCGACATGGCACATGGGAATCCCTTATCAAAACATATCTGAAAAATTTCATATTAGATATTGAGTAAAATTATTATAATTGCACAGATGCAGGGGGTTATACAGTAGTTCCAGCCAGTCAACGCCATTTGCATATTTATCAGATCGAAGCGCCACCTTCATCAGATATATTTATTACATGGATAACACTATTCGCTGTGCGCTTACGCATTACATCATAAATATCCCATGAATGAATGGATATTGCTTAACACCGCATCAGCAATTTTCCAGCTATTCGCTACAAAAAACAAAAACAGTTACTATGAATTTCTTTTATCGGTGGCATTTAGAAGCTGGTATGAGGAAGAGGAACACGTTTTTATGGATGGATAACTTATTTGTTGCAATAGATGCGACGTTTCGTGTAGATCCTAACACCGATATCAAACATAAAAAGGGGTTCCTCTTCAGTTCTATGAATACCATCATGTGCACTGTTACGGTTAAATAATTGCCGTGACAAAAGGCAAAATATAACACAGACAAGTCTAAAATATTCAATAATATATTGGGCAAACAATAAGCAAGCTACAATGAATACAGATTTCTAATTTAAGTCACAGATCTAAAGTTATGGGTCACATATATAAAATATTAACTCACCAGAGTCTTGGTAATCACAGTGAGATCAAATATTGTAAATGGAGCTTGTTTGCAGATGAAAGCAGTCAGGCACTAAGTGTCAGGGTCAGACGATGGTGATGTGACGAAGGGCGAAGCCGGGGCAAACAACGATGGGCAACTCCAGTGACATCGAAAGTCCAATGTAATTCCGTGTGTCAGTGCTTGCGTGTCGCACAATACAACAGCCAGCCATTATATATACTGACACAGATTCTCGAACTTTCCAGCCAAGCATGGCTGTATCATTAACCACTAAGATCTTTCTCGAAGCGTGTTGAACATACGACATGACGATGTCAACACATAAACATTCGCCCAAGGGAGGTAACTCTGGAGCGCTATCATAAAGGCGTGCTGCTACAATACTGTTGCCACTGAACATATATGACTCGAAATGTGACCCACAACCAACACTCAAAACTTTAAACATTGTGACTCATAATTATTATCACCTAACCAATGTTATTACAAATTACAAAATACACACTCTCGTAAAAGCACATAAAACACAATCGTTTTATCAATTAAGACCATATAAAACATTAGTCATATATCACAGAAAATGTAAGAACTGACTATTTTTGCAGAAAGTTATATCTTGTCATAAAGTTAATTTCTTTCAAATGTGATATAACGATATGGCTTTGAACTTGGGTAAAAACCTGTTTTAAAGAAACATTTTAATATGTGGCAATACAGTTTCCACAGCCCCATTCAGAAACATCATACTGACTCGGATTCAACTAGTGACTAGCGCCAGGCAAGGTATTTAACATCAAGAACCTCTTTGGTATTACTCTGTCACGAAAACAGCATTGGAACACCGACCCGATGCCTTTAGGTATATCAGGTGAGGGGAAATTGAAATTAACGTCCTGCTTGAGAATATTTCGCTCATATGACGACGTGCATGCGTGTGTATGTGTACGTGTATGTGCGGCTGCTTGTACTAGCCCAGACGGAAGCTGGTTTTATAGTGCTAGCCCACTGAGATACCATGCCGCAGTGAAGCATGAATACCCAACTGATACACATACTGAGTTGAGTATATATACTGACTCCGAGCCGACCAGTCCTTGTTGTACCCATTAATGCCGAGCGCCAGGCCTTTTGGTATATCAGTTAAAGGCAAAATGGTATCGTCGGAAGCACTCGCAATTTCAGTACGAAACACACAACATTTGGTGCTAAACTCAAACTTCAGATTCACCTTTTCAGAGAATTATTGTTATCTTTCATACAACACTGTGTTCTTACACCCAGTCTTACCTTTGGGATAATTCACTGACATCATAAAAAAAATATTGACGATTGTGAAAATAGTGAGTGAGTTTAGTTTTACGCCGCACTCAGCAATATTCCAGCTATATGGCGGCGGTCTGTAAATAATCGAGTCTGGACCAGACAATCCAGTGACCAACAGCATGAGCATCGATCTGCGCAATTGGGAACCGATGACATGTGTCAACCAAGTCAGCGAAACTGACCACCCGATCCCGTTAGTCGACTTTTACGACAAGCAGTCGCCTTTTTATGACAAGAATGGGTTGCTGAAGAACTATTCTACCCCGGATCCTTCACGGGTCGATTGTGAAAATAACCCGAGGTGGTTAACTTTTTGTTTTATGTATTTATACTTTTTTTAAAAAGTAAGGGAACTCCATTTTTAATTTACGTTTGAAAAAACTGAGACATATCTGAGTCAGTCATTGTCAATATGATAATAATGACCATTTGCACTTCCTTTTGACCATAGTTGGTTTTACAGTAATCGCTCCTGAAAGATGATTGGCGTGTGTGACGTGAAATTTGCATGTTTTCGATTTTCAAGCAAAAAACCGACTAGAAGCAAACACTAATAACTATGTGATGTAAGATGACTGACATAATTATAATGGTCTACAGTGATTTATCGACCTTCTTGAAAACCGTCAAAATTAAGAATGACACCCAATGCATGTGTAAGGGACTACTGCGTTGTGCACGTGCATACGACGCGTTGTGTTTATGGGTAGTTACAAACAGAAATGGTGTTCCGTTCATAAGATGACTGTCTTTGAAAAGGTTGTTAACGCTTATACTTCCCATCCAAATCGAAACTTCAGGTTCCCCTACATTTTTGTAAGAGAATATTCATAAAAGCGGCATTGTCACATGGTCAGTCATGTTTGAATCCGGATGTGATTTCACTTAAAACACTTGTGCAGGCCAAGATGGTACAGCACATTACAGTGACTAAACATAGAAGAGGTTACATTCGGTAAGCAGCCCTAAACAGTGAATTCAACTATTCTTATTGAAACACAGATATACCTTCAGTCACGTTTCATTCTTTAAAAGTGTACTCCTGGAACAGTGTGCGAAATAGCCACAGGCTAGCTAGTGAATTTTCATTGGGTCATTTTGTAAATATATCACTCTCACCGACTCGTTAAGTTATAATACACATCTTAGGAAATTGTTAGGAAATATACAACCAGTTTGATATAGATCTCTTTGCACAAAACAAAAAAAACATATAGACGAAATAATATGTATTCAGTCTCATCCACAGGCGAAAGGATGTTTCACAGCTCCAAAATATTATTGTAAAAATCCAGTATGTTCATCCCTAATGTTCACAGAAAAAAGACTTTATATTTTACAGGTTGAATGATAACTGTAACAACACAAATTAGATGTTGTGAACCTATTGTTCAAATATTGTACTAAGTACAAGAGCAGGGCTGACCTTTTCACGAACACCTCGTAAAATAACTAGTGTTCACTGGTGACAATACGCTCATTTCGGAAAAACGATATGGTGTGGCCAAGGATTGCAGAACACACCATGTTGCATGTTCAGAAAATTGAATTACTGACGAGAAACAAATCTAACATTCCTGTATTCCGACAACATGGTCTTTTACAACATGCCGATCCCGCTAAAAGGGTTGTAAGGCAATACATTAAAGTTTCTGGCAGTCATGCCCAATTGAAAGACGCATTTCGTTAAACAACTGAACTTCTGAATTCGGAGTCTTCACAATATCTCGGGAATGACTTTTAACAATTTTTTAATGTTTTGGAATGTACAGGAATTGTCACCAACAGCAGGTTCACTCAGTAACACCAAGTACATTGGCCATATTTGCAACAACATCAGCGACCTCGGACACGTTGTTTTTAACATCGTTGAGGCTCTTCAACACGTCTTTGACGTCGAAGGCTAAACTGATACCAGCTGCCGCAACACCAGCAGACTTGATAACCTTACCAGCCTTGACCTTCCCCAGGAAGCTTAACCCTCGTCTGAACTTTGCGATGTTGTGGACACCAACCTCCTCTGGCTTCAGACCAGTTGCCATCCACTGGACTTGTAGCGTCATGCTGACCACTGAAATAGCCTTTCTTGCCCGTCTTCCACATTTTTTGGCACAATCCAATTTCGTTTTGTTTTCTAGTAATGTGTCATAGTCTGGGACATCTCTATATTTGCTTTTCCGTCTTAAGGCCGCGATTAGACCCTGTGTTTCTTTTCTCAGCTGGTCTAGAATACTCTGAACCTCGGCAATACGTTTTGTCATCTCCTGAATAATTTGACGGTTCGGAATTAAATTTAAGCAAAGACATAACCAAGACATTTCTGTACATAGTAATGGGTATAGACGAGAGTAGTTATAACCAACCAATTGTTAAAGGTCTGAGCCGAGAAAGGGGTTATTATTTGTGTGAAAAGCAGTTGCACTTTTATATTATTCTTCTATATAGTGTAATTAGGTCTAAAGACCTAGTAGTTCCGAATCGGTTTTAGAACAGATCCGCAGCAAATCATACTTTCCAAGGAGTCTAAATGATTTACCCGTGAAGTTACAGTTGTTTTAAGCGACCCATTCCTATCCTAAAAGGCGATTAAGGGGATCGTTTGGTCAGGCTCGCTGACCCAGCTGGTGCATGTCATCGTAGACGGTGGTGATGACTTCAACCACTGTATTGTCTTTTCCAGATTCCTTTATTTACAGACCACCTTCATATGGGTGGAAAATTGCCAAGTGCGGCGTTTATCAACAAACAAACAAACTCCTTTATTACTGACCTCAGATTCCAACCAAGACACCGCCATTTCCCCGGCCCCACCGGCGAGTCCAGCTGCAGCTCCGGCACCCATAAGTACCAAGGATATTCCCCCCGTCACTAAACCCGAAGCTGCCCCCAAAAGTACCATCCCTCCACCAATAGCACCAGCAGAAGCACATGTTGCCTTGGCAATATTGGCATCCTTCTGTTGCTTTCTTATGAGCTCTGACAATGACTGGAGTTTCTCAGCTGCAGACGTTTGTACATTTAGACATATTGTTGTTTGGTTTCCTATTAACGTAGAAGCTGAAACATACATGGGTTGTTTTGTGAATTTAAATGCGATAAGAAGATAGTATTGTTGTTTAAAGTGTCGCGTTTACTTTTGTCCTCAAGTTTTTTTGTCTTCATTTTTTTCGGTGTGAAGCCAATTTCTGGTGTCCCCCTCCGTGATATTGCTGGAATATTGCTAAAAGCGGCGTAAAACTGAACTCACTCACTCACTCATTTTCTCTCGAAATATCAGCAAATTGTTAATGTACCTGTTACATAAATCATTCTACAGCCAGACTATTCGGACCAATGCGAGCCATGGTTTCAGCTTACGAAGCTTAAAATATCCATTACTCTGTGATACGAAGTCTCTGATAGGCTGCCTAGTTGAATTAAATACATAGACAAGGCATTTAATCGATCTGTCTTGCAGTGATAGATCAAAACAGCGAAAAACATATGTATGAACTAAGATGAAGTTAGCTTCGTATAATGACGCAAATTAAAACGAAAGTGAAAGTTAGTTTGGAGGCGGGACATACTATCAAGCTAATGGTTTCCTTGTTCCATGTACACTCTGTTGGGTGAATATCTTCAGGAACGAATGAAGATGTAGGAAACGATTATACATACCTGAATTACCCATTGTGATTCGAATTTAGTCGCTACGTTCGTGTACAACAGGAATACTGTGCTGAACTTCCGTGTTCGATGATCTTCTTCGACTTGGTTATCTGGGTTTTTAACTTTCGTTTTCAGAGGTAATTTGTTTGTCTAGTTTGTTCGACAGCCGCAGTCGTGGCGGCGGGTGCTCTAGGGAGGACAGGACACGATAACCAGTTTCGCGAAGGACTGATGTGACCACTGATTTTCACTGGTATTTTGCCTCCTAAACCCAGTAAAATATGTGTCGGGTGGATAATCTATTCTACAGCCTTGACCTTCTATATTTAGCATTTTGCTGATAAACTGATTCTAGTACGACCAGGTGGCCTATGCAGCTCAGGGACCAACCATTTAGTTCTTTTTCTTTAATGAAAATTATTTTTAAAATTGCGTCAATTCATGAAAAGATAATTATGCTTCGGACAGTGAAAACGAAAATGTCGGCCATAAATAGCACAGATTGCCAGGGAGTGGAGGTAATTACGAAGTATATTAATTCAAAGTAAAGATGTTTGACTCATCCTATGTGTATAAAGGAATGATAATCATGGATACACCCCACCCCCATAAGGCCACGGGTACGATAATCATGCATACACCGCCATTAGGTCACGAGTATGGTAATCATGCATATAAATCGTATAACGACACACTGCCTGTCCACATGATATGTTTATGTATGGTAATATAGTTTGTGTCTAGTCGATCGAAGTGGACCTCCCCTTGTCCTCGGTTGGTAATACCTCTAAGATGTGAATACACGTTCGTAGAAATAAAAAATCAGTCAGTATTATATAACAGTTTTATTCATATTTAGTCTTGATCAACAAAACACGTCTGATTGAATTGATTACGCCTACATATTATTACAAGCGACATTGTCACCTCTTCAGTCATGTTTGTGACTTCACTTAAAACGTTGATGCAGGCCTTGAGGGTATAGTACATTGCAGTGACTAAACATAGAGTAGTAAGTAGAGGTCGCTTGCGGTAAGCAGCCCTCAACAGTGAATTCAAATATTCTTATTGAAACATAGATATACCTCCAGTCACATATCTTTCTTTAAAAAAAATAAACAAATTGCAACACAGTTGTTCTCCACTAATCGATAAGAAAATGGATGTGGACATTTTTGTGCGGGGTCTGTTTGAGTTTAGGTTTCATTCAATTAACAATTAATAGTTGTCATAAACCCTCTCTCACGAAGTTCATAGCTTTCCATATATGGTCCCAGCAGTGTTACCCAGTCACAGTATCCTAATTTCAGAAATCAGAAATGGGCCTCGCACATTGTATAAATGTGGGGAATCGAACCCGGGTCCTCGGCGTGACAAGAGAACACCTTAACCACTGGGTTTCCCCATCGACTACAAATCCAGCAAGAGATCGGACTAGCGAAATATATATATATTTTTTATTTTTTTTAAATATCATGTTTTCCACTTTTTGTGAAAAGTATTCTTGAAAGGTGATGATACTGATGGATTCGCTCTGCTTAGGAAACATTTTTTTCAACAAATATAGACTGAAAATTTATCAAACTGACCTATGAGTGTGCAAGGGCAACATTATACTTTTCTCACATCAATTCGTAGCTTTCCACAGCGGCGGGAAAGTGGGATCAGAAAAGTTTAGTTATTTGACGCCGGAATGAAAACGTGGGATGGGAGATGTGGACACAGAACAAAAAGACAGCCTAACCGACAATACGACAAAAGGCATACACGGATATACGCTGCGCAAGGGTCCGTTACAAAGTGAACGTTTACAAGAGAGTATTCATGCCCATATGGATTACGACAAGCCAAAACCAATGACTGACTTGAGTTTCATCCTGCTACACAGAGAGTAAACCTCATCGGCCGGAAACGGGAAGTATACATGTGTCGAGTAGTTGATGCATACTTCCGGTCTTTTATTACCCATTGTTCGTGTGTTCGTGTGTTCGTGTGTTAAATACCACAGCTTTAAAACTGCAGTCAGAGATATTGGAACGGTAACTGTCATTAAGTTTGTTCTGAATTTATTGGTCATTCCATTTCTTTTTTTCTAAGACTATCATTTAATGATATATTACTTATTCCATTTCGAAGGCTTAAGAAACAAGTGTTGGTTTCATTGAATCATAACACATTATGTTCATTGTGAAAATATGGATCACTAGATACGAAATAATATATACAACCACATAAATCAACAGTATAGGCCATTCTTACCCCTAACGTTTGTGCATAGAACGTATAATGGTACGTTTGGAAAACAATTTACGAAGACTTTTTACAATCATCAAAAATCTATCGTAATTATAAATAGGTCACCCTATTCGTCGCCTCCAAAAATCTAAACGTTGCTTGTAGGGTAGCACTTCTAATCTGGGCCTTCTTGTCAGGAACTGGTTCATCACGAGGTCGAGAAAAAGTAAGTCAGCACCCGGATAATTATTACAGACCCGTGAAGATCCGTGTTAGAATTGGTCTTCAGCAACCCATGCTTGTCGTAAGAGGCGACTAACGGGATCGGGTGGTCAGGCTCACTGACTTGGTTGACACATGTCATCCTACATCCCAATTGTGTATATCGATGCTCATGCTGTTGGTCACTAGACTATTTGGTCAAGACTCGATTATTTACAGGCCGCAGCTATATAGCGGGGATATTGCTGAGTGTGGCGTTAAACATCAAACAAACAAACTATTATAATTAATCTCATTGTATTGCAACTGAAGTCAAGTTGAAGTTTAAAGTGGCTAATCATATTCATCTGACAACGAATCACTTCCTAAAATGCCTTAAACTGACAACAGCCGCGATCTCTTTACGGACGTTCACGTTGCAGTAACTGTAGATGAAGGGGTTAGCTGCACAGTTGATGAAGTAGGATCTCAGGAATATGTTGTATGCTGCCAACGCCGGCCCTGCGAGGTTTTCAATGCGGTCCCGGTGTAATGCTCGCACAGCCATTAACGTCAGATGTGGAAGAAAACTAACCACGAAGGCGAGGCTTATGATGAACAGCATCAAGGTCGTTCTACGCGCTGTCCTCTGACGTTTAGATGGACGTCTGATGATAGTATCACTCCTCCCGAGGCAGGATTTGTCTGAAAGCGGAGGTGTTTTACCCTTGCCTGTGGTGCTGACATGTACTTCGAAACTTACGCTTTCTTGAGTGCTGTGTTTCGAAACTGAAACGTGATTCTTCGAAACAAATCCAGAGTCACTGTTATCGACGTCTTTGTTTTTCCACGACCACTTCTTTACATCGGCAAACCGGGCCACCCCTTTCCATATCCGAACATACAAGGTCGATAGTGTTGCCATTGCTGCCACGAACAGCACAAACTGGAAGCCGTTGTAAGCAAGAGGGAGCCTTGTGTTTACGTAGAAGTCTGACGTCGTGCACAACGTCGCGTTAACGCCTTCAGATAGAACCTTTGTCTGACCACCGTATAAGATAGTCGGGGGAATAGAAAAAGTAAATGAAGAGACACAGGACAGAAATATGGCAATAAATGCAGCCTTGATAGACGTCTGAGGCCCTGTAGGGTAGCAGACCTTCTTGTGTCGAACAGCGGCCACGGCAACCAGAATGTTACCGGAAGCAAACGAGGTGAAGCTCACAAACATGGCCGACAACTTGCAGGGAGTACTTCCAAACTCTCCGAAGGTGAACTTGTACCTGATGTCGACGATGTCAACAGGGATGCAGATCAAGCAGGTGGCGAAATCGAGGGTGGATAACGCCAGAATAAAACAGCGGGTAGTTGAAGGTTTCATTTTCGTTAAGTAGACAAGGAATACTAGACAATTGCCCACGAAGCCAACAAACATTATCAGGCCGAGGAAGATCATGGCCACCAGATTTTCAAGAGCATACTCGTCGTTCCGAGATTGAAGATATTCTGTAACTGAAGACCTGTTATCCATTTTGGTGCGCCCTTTCTCTCTCTCTGTGTGAAAGAAATATTGCGTTTTGATTATTACACACGTGATTATTGATAATGAGTTACAAATATGTAACAATTCACCACAGTGGGTTTTGAAATTGAGTTACAAATATGTAACATTTCACCACAGTGAGATATCTGTAACTCAATATCAAAACCCAGCTGCGGTGAAATGTTAGATCTCTGTAACGCAGTAGTTAAACTAACATTTCACCACAGTGGGTTTTGTTTTTGAGTTACAGATATGTAATATTTCACCACAGTGGGTTTTGAAATTGAGTTACAAATATGTAACATTTCACCACAGTGTGATATCTGTAACTCAATATCAAAACCCACTGCGGTGAAATGTTAGATCTCTGTAACGCAGCAGTTAAACTAACATTTCACCACAGTGGGTTTTGTTATTGAGTTACAGATATGTAACATTTCACCACAGTGAGTTTTGATATTGACATGACATGGTATCACAGGAAGAACTGATTGACTGACTGAGTTTAGTTTTACTCCGTTTTAAGCAATATTCCAGCAATATCACGGCGGGGAACACCAGAATTGGGCTCCACACATAGTAGCCATTTGGGGAATCGAACCCGGGCCTTCAGCGTGACAAGTTACCACTAAGCTACACCGCCGTCCCTCAAAAGAAGGAAGTTCACACAACTGTTTCATAACAACACTGGAAAAACGGCTGAAACCATACGCGGAAGTAATGTAAGGTTTCTAGTAACGGTCAACTTGATTACATCATACTTCCGTGATGGCATATGCTCCATCACACCAGCCAGTTAAAGTAGTAGGCATGTACAAATTATTACATAATACAGTATAATATTTATTATATGCTGTGTTTTATGAGAAAAGTTAATTGAAGTTATGTTATTTAGGAGTGGCATATATAGTACTGTATTAATTCTTATTGATATATCAGTTGATACGTTATGTTAATATTGAGGTCGAGCAGACACTAATATATCATGATGACAAGGAAGTAGGCTACATTGTCAAGGTTCAAAGTTGAAAATTACATAGATTTTACTTTGATGGGTCAGAGCTGCCGAGGAAAGTACCAAAAGTGGCCTAGTGGATCGCGTCATGGTGGAGAGCGGGAGGCCTGTGGTTCGAGTCCCGGACGCGTCAGTAGACTGGGTATGTATGGTGTACCCACCACTGATAAACCAAAGCATGGTATCTCAGTAGGATGGCATTGTATTAGTGACATAAGTCAGAGTAATGGCAAATAGGCATCAATTTCCCTCATCTCTGAGAGGTGTTTAACAATCTATATATTATCGACTTTCTCACTGTACCGTGGGGTAGCCGAGTGGTTAAAGCGTTCGCTCGTCACACCGAAGACCCGGGTTCGAATCCCCACATGGATACAATACATGAAGCCCATTTCTGGCGTCTCCCGTCGTGATATTGCTGTAATATTGCTAAAAGCAGCGTAAAACTAAACTCAATCGACCAAAAATATACTCGTCTCTCATCGTAAAATTACTAGAGTATTACTAAAAACGGCGTAAAACTAAACACAGTCAATCAAAAATATACCCGTCCTTCATCGTGATATTACTGGAGTAGTACTAAAAGCGGCGTAAAACTGAACTCAATCAATCAAAATTTACCCGTCCTTCATCGTGATATTACTGCAGTATTACTAAAAGCGGCGTAAAACTAACTCAATCAATCATACACCCGTCCTTCATCGTGATATTACGGGAGTATTACTAAAAGCAGCGTAAAACTAAAATCAATCAATCAAAATTATCCCCGTCATTCATCGTGATATTACTGGAGTATTACTAAAAGCAGCGTAAAACTAAACTCAATCAATCAAAATTATACCCGTCATTTCATCATGATATTACTGGAATATTACTTATTACTAAAAGCGGCGCAAAACCCTCACTACTCACTCACTAAATGTTTCAATTTGCAAACTGACGTGTAAAGAGAACAAGGGGTAATACTATATACTTTTCAGTTTGAAGGTAAAAAAGATAAACGTGTGCCTATCTGTTACATAATATTTTGGTTTACTTACCTCAAATTATTACACTTTTAAAACTTGAACATGACATGCTTCTCCAGACAGCGGTAGGCTCTCACTGACTATGTTTGGTATTGCCCTAGAGTTGAATGGCTCAAGTGTCCCGTCGCGCGTTTCCTAAATCTGCTCTTGTGGACGATCCGTGAAGGAAGCGTTATTCAAACACTGCTTCCCGAGCTCATTGAAGTCAGGAATGAGTTCAAATTCTAAACGAAGGATCTGTACACACGGATGGTTTCTGTCTGCTCGTGACTCATATTTGTCATGAGTATAATATTTTCTGAGAATATGACCGTTTTGTCAAAGTTGTTAAATATTTCAAATTATGCTGAAAAATGATGACTAAATGTAGAAAACAACTTTCCTTCGAGACAACCATTAAGTTCGACACGGATATGTTTTGACCGTATTCCATGAAAGGGTGATATTTTGATACATATTCCCATGAATGAAAAGTAGACTTTTTTTAAAATTACAAATTGGATAGATACACGAATTATTTCAGATGAATAGTGACTAGACTTTGCACATGTTTATAACGGGTGCCACCGGTGAGGCAGGATACACCTGGCATCATCACTATTTCATAGTGTTTCATAAACACATGCTCTGTCATCGTATCACATGGTGACAATCACTGGATTCTGTGCTCCAGACTCGATTTGTCTACAAACAACATCATACAGCTGTAACACTGCTGAAACAAATATATGCTCATGATATGGTCACAATTGTATAATCGACTGCGTTAAGCAGAGATATCTTATGAATTTGGAAAGGGTTGTATAAAAACGTTTGTATAAACATTTCAATACTTGAAACAAACCGAGGGGCTACTGACAGAGTTTAAATCCACATAAAGAGATTGGGATTTTGATTTCCTTCTGGAATATATATTGTCTGTCTATACATATTCCTGTACAGTATGCTGGGAGAGGAGAGGTTGTCGGTTGCAGCCATACTCGTCTCAGGCGCTGCAATATGCGCTGCAATATGCTAGACAGAGTTGCGTCCCTAGGCATGTATATTATCGTAGGTTGGAAGCTCAGGTAGATATATAGATTGTCCTCCACGATTGAAGATTACAGGTTATTGAATAACAATATACATGGATGTACATATTTACACGGCAGCAAGAGGCATGTACATCTATACCATGAAATGAGGTTGCAAAAGATGAGACCATTTCAGAAAATATTGACCTATAACGAACATACAATCTCTCCGTGTTTCAAATTAAACATTCGAGAAACAGTCGGGTACACATCCAAGCATAAAAGACATGACATCGTCATTGTTAGACTACCAGTCATTAAAGGTATCATAGGCGGATCCAGTAATTTTAAAATCCTTCAATGTGGGCTTCGAACCCCCACCCCGGCTCCGCCAATGCTTTTAATTAACTTCAATGTTGTGTTTAGTCATTTTCAAGGGGGGAAGGAGGTGGGGGTGGGTCCCAATGGACACACACACACCCCTCCCCCCCTTGGATCCGCCAATGGCAGAACATACTGTTGTGTTTGACAATGTCATTTGATACTCTTCGGCACTCACATTCACCAGATTTGAATTTGCTGACACGGAGTTTTGCTATTGTTGATAAATCTTTCATTCTCCCGGAAGCGTGATTAGATGATTAGCTAGTTTCCATATATTCAGTATACCATGTTGTCTGATCAAGAAAAATCCTTTCTGACAGATATTTGTCTCTGTAATGTATATACCCGTGCACTTTGTGTCAGCAAAATGCTAAACGTCGGTCTTTCTTTCGAGAGTAGGGCACACCCAGTTATCTTACCTCACATTCTGATTGGCTGAGCACTCTTCTATCATTTTCAATGTACCCCGTTTACAAGCGATTAACATTTCTATGTACCCCGCTGGGAATGCCGAACTCATTTGGTACTTCGTGGTAGTAATTCTTTATCTCGAATAACATTGAATCACGTATGATGTACATTCGTGAACAACTCGTGTTATTCCGGGACAAGCCTAATAGCGACTTGTGCCCCTCGGATTTCATATTGGCGTAGGAACATCAGAACTACTTCAAACAGGAACGATAACTCTATTCCTGTTCGATTCCAATGGTACTTAATATCACCAAAGTACTCATACATTGTATTGCTGTTTTTGTTTTTGTTTATTTATTTTAAAGAATCAAACCTTCTTGGTGCAACTAAAAGAAAGAGAAAAACATATTTGTTAAAGACATATTCTGACGTAATTATTACAGATATTCACCTTAGATTTCCAATTATATTTCTGAAAAGGGTTTAATAATCACAAATGGGATTTCTTTTTAAAATTTATAAATAAAAACCTGCTACATTAAATCCCAAAGCGGAAACTCAAAAAATGACTTTTATTTTAATATTTCTCAAACTGAACATAAGCCTAACCTTGCTGTCATATCCCAAGTGGAATTTTAAATGAATTCGCTGAAAAATATATGAATGACCACAAAAAGGTCAGACTGAAATAATCCCAGAGAAATTAAATATATGTCCAATGTTAAAATTGATTAGTTACATACAGATATAATATTATTGTTTAGAAACTCGTAGCGATCTATAATTACATGTCCAAAAACTGTTGGAAGCGCACGTATAATCACCACAACAAGCCCGCAAGATCGCCAGAAATACACTCAGTTGGACCCATGAGAGCCGTTATGTCAACAAACGCACGTGCGTATATTTGAATATCTCATCGTCAATCGCATTATTCATATCAAAAACTTCACCTTAGACAGCACAATTCTGTTAGCTACGTTCTTGGTAATTTCAGTTTGACGATATATATTTTCATGATTCTTTAACCAATAGCATAATGCCATAAACGATTTAAGTAGTCGGGGATTTTTTTTTATCAAAGCACTGCAACCATTACGCGCGTTCTGATTGGTTTGTCGTATTTTCGCACATAACAAGCATCGACAGGGGCACGGGGTCTTCTTGGAGTTTACGTAAAGGGGCGAGTGGCGACGAATGGTATGATGTACTGAAATTACCGATGTTTTGCGAATGCAAATCGATGGAAGGGAGACAACTCTATATCTGTTTTTCTTGAAATCAGCTAAAAGATTTGTACCCGTACTTCAAACACTTCAAAATTAACATTGACGTGTTCGGTAAGATAGACACGTTGTTCACTGGTCCCTTCGGGCTCAAGGAACATAAACAAACATCAAGGACACATCAGCCCATGTCCCCCTCGTGACCAGTGAACAACTTATAATGTAGCTGTTTTGAAAAATTATTACTGTCTAAAGCGGTTTTAACCCTAAACTCATTCTCTCGCTGGGCTTGGATGAGCCCCCAGCTCATTCCACCGATTGACTTGAGTTGTCTCCCTTCCCCATCGCACTCGACCGATTGACTTGAGTTGTCTCCCTTACCCATTGTCTCCCTTCAGCCTGTCTTACCCTCACAGGGAAAGCATGTCTTGTCTTGTGATTACGGACCACAACATGTGTGTAATCAGTGGGTGAAAAGGTCCTCGAGAGAAATTATATGCACATTCCATTATACACATGTGTTTATTGGCTCCTAAGAATTATGTTAAGAACTTCTGTTTCGTAATTATCTATTCAAATATGCATCAGCCATTCCAAATAGTGATAGCATATATCCACAATGGAATCAAGTTTAGGATACGCGCTCTTTCGAAATTCTAAATGGAATAAGTGTAGAATGTTTGTTTGTTTGATGGCAGACGCCAACGGATCAATATTTCATTCGAACCCATCGCATGTGTCGAATACCCGGTTGTGCCGAACCCTTTTGCTCTATTTATCCATATTCCATCTTGGATGTGTGAAACTGCTTATGCCCATTTCGATGTTGTTTCAGACTTACTTTACAGCTCCAAGAAAGAAAACATAAAAATGCTTTAATTACCTTGACAAGTCAGGGGCGTAGCTACCATTATAAAAAAAAGCCCGGGCTTACAGGCAATTTATGCTATTATAGTTGGGCAGGGCAAGCTGATACAATGTTTGAAAATATGGAAACGTCATAGAACAAAACAGGTGACGTCACTATTGAGAGTGACGACATTCGACCTTGACCTTTGTCCATACTACCAGCCGCCATTTTTTCCAGTGCTCAGCGACTTTAGAGTTCTAGTCGATGTTTTCATTGCTGTATGTTGTAATTTATGGTACAAGTGTTGTGGTTATGGTTGGCACCGGTAAGAAAGTGCATAATGGCACCGGTACATGTGACGAATGTGAGTCAGACATAGCGTCAATAATGAACCCAAGCACAAACGAGCCGTGGGTAATTAAACTGAACTACTTATGACGTCACCTAACAACGGACTTGATAATGGCCCGTCGTCAAGCATTTTGTGGGCATTATCAACTTTTCTGAGATGCCAAGCGGTTAGAACCATCGAAAAAAAATACATTATCAGACAATAAAGGTAATAACAATAACAATTGAATGACGTTACACCGTCACTGCGCCATTCTAGTGTGCCCCCTCGTAATCAAACCATTTAACATTACGTCACAATGTAAGCGACGTCACAATGCATGTCAGTTGTCATCGCCCCGTACGACCTCCTACAGTAAACTACACAGTTGCATCCCGTTTCTTCTGTTGCAGTTGCTTTACGCAGCTAACATCACTGGTGGAAACATTACGTTTATGTTTTACGATGGTTACAGTATGTCAATTAGACTCACAAGTTTTCTGCGACACGGTTTTCGCAATGTTTACATTCCCACTATAGCGATACAGCTGTTGAAGAAGTGCCTATAATATTTTAAAAAAAGAAACATCACCCGTTACAATTACGTCTACGTCTACGTCACTTCTGAGACACCGGAGATCAGTTCTAACCCGAAAGATGATCGACCTATCCTTGTACAGGGCTAGAATCGGGACTTTCTCACACCCACCCGGGACCCGCCAGGCAGGCCATGTTGGCAGATTTTCACCTGACACACAGCACGGCAGCAGTTTTTACTACATGTGTAGATTGAGTGCTTGTGCGGTGTTTTGTACGATGCACTTGTCTCTCTCACTGGCTATGATGAGGTTTGGGAATGTTGTAGTCTAGTCATACCAAAATTTTGAGTGTCTCCTACCAAAAAAAGTGATTAGTGACGTCAGCAGTCATCTACCTGTGTTCACCGGACCGTATCAGTGTGCTATTGATCTGATCGTCGACAATATCACTGTGGGTGTAGTGGTTCGCTTCCAGTTGATTCTCTCCAATGACATTGAGTCAAATCCTGGACCTGATTATGTGGCACAACAAGATCTGATTGATGTCAAAAATACACTTGTGGCTGAAATT